CAAGGGAGTAAAACATTAGAAAATGTTTTTGTAAATTAAATATAAATGAATGAAAAATGAGCTGAGGACAACAATGACTCTAGATTATCCACTCTTACTTTTTTCCCATAGAGTCTGAAGTGACAGATTGTATTATTATTATACCTGTAACAGTTGGCTTCACTAGTTATAAAATGTTTCAAGTTGCTGCATACATTTCAGATTTATATCACATCTTAGAACAGATTACACCTGTAAGAGGTGGGTTCACAAGTTATAAATAATTTATATAATAATATATTATATAAATTATATACTGTAGTAATATAATAATTTCAGAGTACACTGTAAAAAGTGGTAACCTGATTTTGTAAGAATTTTTGTAGCCTTGTTATCAGATCAGTTTATTAATATAAAATTTTGCAAAAAAAAGAAATAATCTAAATTATCACATGAAGCACATTTCATTCATTCATTCATTTTTTATCTATTTATTTTTTGTGTGTGTGTGGGGGGGGGGGGGGGGGCACTCTAGGTGTCACTGCCCAGGGGCACCAAATAGTCTTAATCCGCCACTGATGATATGATGATAGTTTTCTCAAAATAAGTAAAATGCTCATGAAGTGACTCAGAGTCTCAGTTCTAGAGATTATGTTTATGTGTTCATGTACTCATATATTGAGGCGGCAGAGGCTGAAAACACCGCAAGCTTCAGTAGGCCTATGTGTAGTAAATGAAGCCGCATGTCTGCGCCATTAATTTCTATGAGGGGCAGACTGGGGAAACAATTTCATGGCAGGAAATCTCACACTCATACACCCACAACAAATTCTGAAACATGGACAACCCTATTTTTGTATGGCCATCACATAAAAAAGGTTTAAATCCTTAGGTTGGGGACATGCAAAATAATTAAAAGTTGTCTCCTGAACTGCGCCTTCACTTCCATTTTTCTTTTCAGTCTCTTTATTTTGCCCTGATATCTCTCTCTCTCATGACTTTAATACTCAAGATTTAACAATTTAACATTGCATACATTTAACAATGTATTAACATTTTTTAACAACCTGGACAACTTAAGACAATACAAAATGATACAAATACAAAATAATGACAAAATAAAATTTTATAAATACATTTAAATATAAATATTATGATAAAAAATCTGGAATTTTTAACAACTTAAGATAATAAAAATATTATTAATTATTATATTATAATTATTAATATTATTAATATTTTCAATAACTTAAGATATTTAAAAGGGAAAAAATCGAATACAAATCAAGAACATGTTATCACACTTAACATTAAAACATTATGGATAAATAACAACATTAAAAAAAGATTAACCCTTTAGTTGGTTTACTTATTTTAACAAATAAACAACCAACAGTGATTTTAAAGGAAATGATTAATTATTGGTCTAACCCAGCTGCATTCCTCAAGTCCAACTCTGTTGCTACCGGGAAGTTGGTCATCACAGCATCTGCCAAATAAGAAAGAAAAAAGCACAAGAAAAGTTTTTTGACATAATTTTTTACTTTAATTACATTAATTGTGACAGGGAGTCATTCTCTTTTGCTTGGATGCCTACTAAAAACAAAAACGAGATATATATAGTTTATCACCATTCAGTGTGTTAATAAAAAAGAGAGAAGCTCTCTGGTAAATGTTGCTTCTCTCTGGTAAATGTTGTGTGTTTTATACACACCTCTAATGACAGAGAACAATGCACACATACCTCTAATGACAGAGAACAATGCAGTCTTTTCAAATGCCTCTTTCTGCAGCGGACCACCCCCCTTCATGTTGAATTTGGACATGAGGGAATTTTTTTTTAAACCCTAAAATATAATACAGATTGAGGTGGTTAACACTTGCGGGCAAAGTTTGACATTTCAAAATGACCAGTAAAGGAATTATTTTTTTAATTTCCCATCACTAACCCTTTAAAACTCTTTATTCCAGCAGTTTACGTTTTTCCCTATTAGTGCCCCCCACAATCTGTCTCTGCCTCCAAAATTGTCTGGCACAACTGACTTCATAACAACACAGTGATAGCTGCTGTAACTAAAAAGTAGCCCAGTACACACATTAACCTCAAATGTACATGGAATAATAAATTCACCCCTACCATTTTATTAATTGTACTGTTTAGGTTTTAATGCTGCATTGCACATTTGAGCTATTTGCACTATTTTAATACTGCTGCAAACTTTTTATAATTGATAATTTTATGTTGCCATTTTAAATCATTTGTATTCTTAAGATTTACTATCAATTTGGAAGTTTCAAAATAAATCTTTTGTAACGTTACTTGTACAATGACAAAAATATTCTATTCAATTAGCTCATGCTCTCTCTGTATCTAACAAGCCATTGTTCAGTCATAAATTCAATATAATAATTAAAATATATTATGGAATTTGTCAAAGTTGAGAGCTTTAGTGAGGAAATGTTGTTTTGAAGTTTTTCTTTTTTTTTTT